AATCTCATATTAAGAGGAGACATGATATATGTAGAGAAAGGGACTGAGAGGCGGGGGAGATGGCGCAGTTGGTAGAGTGCTTACTCTGCCACCAGGAGGACTTGGTTTCTGACCCCTGGCACCCACAGAAGAGAGCTGCATGTCTCCCAGACGTGGGCAGGCAGAGGCAGGGGCATGTTTAGTCTTGTTAACCAGTCATTCTAATCAAATCGGTAACTTCCAGGGATACCTCTTCAAAAACTAAGGTGGAGAATGAAGAAGGCATTGATGCTTAGCCTCCACATACATGTCCACACACACATGAACATGCACAGACAGTCACATACACAGGACTTACGAATGTGCAACTTAAGGCAATTGCAGTTTTTTCTTTGTTCTTTATCTCTTTTTACATGTCCCAATGAAAATATATTTATATTGTTTTTATAAACAGGAAATTACTTTTTTTTTGAGGATATCTCTGTGTAGTCCTGGCTGTCCTGAAACTCGATCTGTAGACCAGGCTGACCTTGAACTCATAGAAATCCTCCTGCATCTGCCTCCCAAGTGCTGGGATTAAAGTCCTGCTTCCCACTGCCAGGCTAACAGCTTTTATATCATTTTAGTATGTAACAGAGTCTTAGAACTGATGTTCCAACTATGAGCTGACGCCACATTGCTTTTTATTTTTAACTGTTATTTCAAAATGTGGTTGCCAAATCATCTCAAGTTACATCAGAGAGAATCCAGCCTCTTGTGTTCAAGACACCAACTCTCCTGTCTTCCTCCATGGTCCTTTCTCTCTGTCTTCATCTGCTTTGCCACCAAGCTTTTCCCATCAGCTACTTTTCAGATAATCTTTTCTGCAAGCTTCTAACTTCTCTCAAGCACTCTGGATCCATACTCATGGAACCAAATACCTTTTTATTTAACTTACCAAGTCACTAGGAGCCTCCATTGTATATTCCACAGGCAATAGTGTAGGAGAAACTTTAGACAGACATTCCCAGTGGTGCTGTGATGGATCTTGATCGGTACTGCCCCCACCCTGCCAGCGGTTAGCTGTTAGGTTTGAGACTCTCAATGGAAGCTACATGTCAGAACCTATGGCTGCCAGGATGGTCTAATCTTCTTTACATATATGACTATGATCATTACTCAATCATGCATATACTCAGGGTATGTGTGCCTGCTGAGTCTGCGTCTGCCTCAAATACTGTAATAACAGGGTCCTTCTGATTAAATTTTGCTCTAGTTCAGATCTATTTATTTATTATTGATATTTACTTAGCTCTACATTTTTCTCTGCTTCCCTCCCTGCCTCTCCTCTCCTCTCTTCAACCTTCCCCCAAGGTCCCCATGCTCCCAATTTATTCAGGAGATCTTGTCTTTTTCTACTTTCTACTTCCCATGTAGATTAGATCTATGTAAGTCTCTCTTAGTGTCCTCATTGTTGTCTAAGTTCTCTGGGATTGTGGTTTGTAGGCTGGCTTTCTTTGCTTTATGTTTAAAAACCACTTATGAGTGAGTACGTGTGATAATTGTCTTTCTGTGTCTGGGTTACCTCACTCAAAATAATGTTTTCTAGCTCCATCCATTTTCCTGCAAAATTCAAGCTGTCGTTATTTTTTTCTGCTGTGTAGTACTCCATTGTGTAAATTACCACATTTTCCTAATCCATTCTTCAGTCGAAGGGCATTTAGGTTGTTTCCAGGTTCTGGCTATGACAAACAAAGCTGCTATGAACATAGTTGAGCACATGTCCTTGTAGCACAATTGAGTATCCTTTGGATATATACCCAAAAGTGGTATTACTGGGTCTTGAGGAAGGTTGTTTCCTAATTTTCTGAGAAATCGCCACATTGACATCCAAAGCATTCCCACCAGCAATGCATAAGTGTTCCCTTTTCCCCACAACCTCTCCAGCATAAGTTGTCACAGTGTTTTTGATCTTGGCCATTCTTACAGGTGTTTTGATTTGCATTTCTCTGATGACCAAGGATGTTGAACATTTCCTTAAGTATCTTTCAGCCATTTTAGATTCCTCTGTTGAGAGTTCTTTGTTTAGGTCTGTACTCCATTTTTTTATTAGCTTATGTGGTTTTTTGGTGTACAATTTCTTGAGTTCTTTGTATATTTTGGATTTCAGATCTCTGTCTGATGTGGGGTTAGTGATCTAGTTCAGATCTTATATCCTCACTTGTTAGCATTTCCTCATGCCTCATTTCCTCATGCCTCTTAAAGATCCTGACCATTTTATAGCCATTACACAGCACAGAACAGTGTTCTTATAACATTCCTTTCTAATTGTTAGTCTTTGGGAACACTATGGTCGATTTCTGCTGTGTTTTTTGTTCCTTTTCTTCTGGCTTTAAGCTGTCATGCTATGTAGCACCAAAGCAGAAAGGAAGACTTTTATAGTTGTCGGTTAAAATAAAAACCTCAGCAGTACAATGGCCGCCTCTGCCAGCTAAGTACTGACTTAATGTGAACATCATCTGTTCACATTTAATACTTAAAATATTATAGTGTGTGTGTGTGTGTGTGCGTGTGTGTGTGTGTGAGTGTGCGCGCGTGAGCGTGCACATACACGTATATATTCTCAGAGGACGACAACTTTGTGGAGTTGTTTCTTTCATTCTGCCTTTATGTGGGATCCAGGCATCAAGCTTAGCTCACTGGAATTGGGCAACAAGTACAAGGAAAGTGTCTTTCCCCGTGAGTCATCTTGCCAGCCCACACTGGACAGTTCTATGCCACTGGGGCACAATCTCTTATGTGGGGCTCATATGCAGTATCTTAAAACAAACAAACAAGACCCACAGAACAAACAACAAGGCACCTCCGTAAGTTCTGAACAAACCACTGCAGACGATTTCTCCATGTGATTAAATGCTTTGATAAAATACATGATAAGAAAGCTTTACATATTTTGCTGGAAATAGTTGATGCTCAGGTTACCCGCTTTTCTCTCCTCTTTGTACTTACTTTCTCTGTGAGATCTTATGAATGCCCATTAAACTCTCATGAGTCCTAAAAGCTCTGAGTTTAGCCTGTTACCCCGTAAGGATGCTGTCCACAGACACGGTGATAATGGGGTGAAGTCAGAGAGTCTTGTCTCCATAGAAGCCCAAAGGATTGAGAAAGCCATCATGCCACAGGCACTGAGGTATACTGCTATCCTTTAGGAACCATTTGCCTCCCAGAGCTCATGAGCTAGCAGCGTGGTACCCAGTGACGTGGTGTTGGCATGGTGGGACCTTTAAGAAATGGGGTCTGCTGGAAAGGTATTAGGTCATGGAGGCCCTTATGTCAGGAGTGAATTGATACTGTCTCGAGAGGGAACGGTGGTGGCACATGCCTTTATTCTTGGTAGTTAGGAGGCAGAGGCAGGTGGATCTCTGTGTTAGAGGCCAGCCTGGTCTACAGAGAGTTCCAGATCAACCAGGGTTACAAAGAGAAACCCTGCCTCAAATAAACAAAGATCCCTCCAGCGGGACTGCTGCAGGTGGGTCTTGGGAGATGGATATCAAGTATTTTCCTTGGTTGCCTTCAACCTTATCTTTTGAGACAGTCTTTCACTGAACATGGGGCTCAGTGACTTGGCTAGGCTGGCCAACCAATGAGCTGCAGGAACGTGCCTTGGTGCCCCTGGAGTTTGGGTTATAGATGAGTACCACCCTGCCCAGCTTTTCCATGCCCGCTAGGACTCCAAATCCAGGCCCTCCTGTTTGTATGACAGCTACCTTACCACTAAGCTGTCTCTCCAGCCCCCCCAAATACCTTTGAGATGTAATTCATAGAACACATATCTCAACCATTTAAATGATACATGTCCATGGCTTTTAGTGCAGTCAGAGATGAAGCCATCACACTTTCCAAAGCACCGCCATTGCTCTCCGCTCCCTTCATTCCTATAGAGCAGTGGCTCTCAACCTTCCTGACGCTGCGACCCTTTAATACAGTTCCTCATGGTGTGCTGACCCCAACCATAAAATTATTCCATTACTACTTCATAACTATAATTTTGTGACTTTTATGAACTGTAATGAAATATCTGTCATGCAGGATGTCTGATATCTGATCCTTGTGTGGGTTGTGACTCACAGGTTGGGAACCATTGCCCCAGACTAACACACAAATCTTTCTCAGACCAAGGTAACCAGTAAAATCTCCTTTCCATCTCTGTGGAGTTACCCAGTCTGAGCATCCCATATTAATGAATCATAAAACATTTCATACTTTGTGACTGGATGCTTTCATTCAGTGTATTTTCAAAGGCATATTTAATGCATAACTTGATTTATTTTCCCCAAACCCCATCTCTTTCCTCAGTCTCACCTAGCCCAGGCTGGCCTCAGACTCATCATGTAGCTGACAATGATCCTTCTACCTCCAGCTCCCCAAGTGCTGAGATAACAGGTTTCCACTTCTGTTGTAAGAGGCTGCTTGTTTGTTTCCGGCTACTCAGCCCCGAAATAACCACACAGAAACTGCTTGGCCCATTAGCTCTAGTTTCTTATTGGCTAGCTCTTACATGCTAATTTAACCCATTTTTGTTAATCTGTGTATCACCACGTGGCTGTGGCCTACCACTGGGTAAAGTTCCTTCCATCATCTGTCTCTAGTAGGGCTACATGGCTTCTCCAACTCTGCCTTCTTCTTCCCAGCATTCAGTTTAGTCATCCGCACCCCCCTCACCTTACTCTCTTCTGCCCTGCTATAGGCTCAAGCCAGCTTTCTTTATTCATTAATGGTAATCACAGCATACAGAGAAGGAATCCCACATCACAATTCTCTTTAGTGTTGTATAATATTCCATTATCTCGTGTGGGGTTTGGGGGCTTTTGTTTTTGTTTTGTTTTGTTCTGTTTGATACACAGCCAGAAACACGATGCTATTGCACTTTTTTTTTCCTTCATAGTCAAACAAATGCAGTTGGACATGCTTCTAGAAAGAGGTGACTGAGAGTAAATATTGGCTGAGTCTCACATGGATGGCAGTCATGTTTAGAAAGCTGCTATTTATGAGTAAATTTATTCACTCAGCTCACTTAGTCCATTTAGTGTTTCTGACTCACAAACGGAAGTGATTCTATTTTGGCATCCTCTATCTTTTCTTGCTGGGTCTCTACTGACTTGCTGTGTTAAATTATGCAAGTTACTTTAGCTGTTTGTTTAACTCCTGCATGCTCTGTAAAATAAGCCCATCCAGGCTGTTTGTTTGCCAAGGCTGTTTGCAGACAATTTTTCATATGATATGCATCATCAGCTCCCACAGAAGGCAGAGGAATTTGATGTATGGGGGTTGTCTGGGATCCAGTCCAAAATTAGTGTTCATCTGGAAGAAATATGGACGCCCAATGATTTCTTGCTGGTCTTTTATTTGTTTTCACGTAGTGCTTTCCCTCTAAGAAACCTTGCAAATCTTTATCATTTTAGTGTGTTTTTTCCCCCTGTATAAGGTTGGCTTTTTCTTTTGTAAAAAGATTGAAATGGGAAAAGTCATCTGATGCTTCTATTAGTTAACTGTATATCAAAGAGTAATTTGTCTGACCTAGTTTTGTGACCTGGGGAAGGTCTAACATTCATAATTTGTCCCTCCCCTTCCCCTTACCTCTCCTCCCCTCCTGTCCCCTCTCTTCCTCTCCCAAGACTGGCCTCTCTATGCCCTAGTTTAGGAGGTGAAATCCAACCAGATGTATCATTTATGTGCTCATGCAATACGCTATGTGAGATATGCTGAGAAGGAAGCAAGAAAGAACACAAATCTTTCGCTTTCAAAAGCTCGCAGGCTGTTGCAACAGGGGAAAGTCAGGAAAATGTGTTCATGTCAAGAGCGGCAAAACCTGGACATGCTGAGGGCAAAAACAAGATCAGAGATTTCTGCTATGCGGGGCGACAGGCGCCTTCTGAGAGGACAGACAGAACGTTTAAAGGAGGGACAGGAAACACCATGTCAAAGTTCCCAGCTGGAGTCTTCAGAATAGGGACGCGGACCACGGTCACCCGAGGTGCGAAGAGCAGCTGTGAAAACTAAACTTGCCCAAGTAGGAGGGGGGCTTTGCAGGCTGCACACGGAATCTGCTCCTGACTACTTAAGCATCAGGAAGGCAGTAAAGGTCTTTGGCAAATTGCATACTTAAACTAGTTTTTTTGTTAGAAAGATGAAGGATTGGCAAGGAGAATTCAGGCCCAGAGACCTGAAGACAAGAAGTGGTACACAGGTACAATCGAGGCAAAGGGAATGGGAAAGAGGTGACTAATGGCTACAACAGGCCTTGAAGTCTAGGTGTAGGGAAGGCAGTGGGAACACCTCTTGGGTTAGACCTCCTTACTCTGAGGGGCACCGGGAGGAGCCACATTTATAAACACCTCCTCCAGTGACGCCAGGTGGTCGGCTCCGGCCTCCGATTAGTTACTCCGGCCGCCAATCTCGGAGGAGGCGGCGCCGTACGGGCCGCTCGGGGCTCCGAGTGTGACTGGCGAGGGCTGAGAGCCGGGGAGCCGACCGAGTCGGGTAGCAGGCGAAGCCGGGAGGGACATCGGGCGCCGCCGCAGAGGTAGGCAGGTGGGCAGGGCGCGGAATCTGGTGGTCTCGGGGACCCTGTCCTCGGAGACAGAGCCTCGGGGATCCCTCAGCCGGGGACCACCCCGTCCTAGGTCGCCGGCGAGGAGGGGGCGGCGGGACCTGCGAAGCGGGGGGAGGGGGGGGATGCAACGCAAGATGCCGTGCGACCCGGCTCGGCACGGGTCCCGAGTAGCCAGCACGAGCCGGCTGGGGCGGCACTACGTACCCCGGGTTCCTATGACGTTCTGGTAGAAAAGCCGGGCCCGGGCTTGTGGCACCCGCAAGGGTCGTCGGGCGGCGGCTGCGGGGCAGCCCCGCGTCCCCGCGCACCGTGGGTCCCATCGACGATGCAGCAGTTCGGCCTGCGCTTCTGGAGAGCAGGGCAGTGAAGGAACACCAGGACCAAAGTTCCCCAGCTTTTCATTTTTAACACCTTCACTTGTCCGACTGCCCGACGCCAGTGTCCTAAGGTGAATTTAAGCCCCTCTTCCAGCCCCCAACCCCACGAGCGGTTGAGACATTTTGCTTTGCAAAAACCCTCTTCGTGCCGGGCTGGTTACCTGCTGGTCACTGGATTCTTTGTGAAAGTTCCTGTGTTTGCAAGCCTGGACCTCAGGGTGTGCGTGTGTCCCGGAGGAGTGTGGAGCAAGGAGCAGGCTGTTCTGGGCAGTGCTGCCGACGGGCAGGCGTGGCCCAAGTCGGGATAGGTGGTGGTAAAGTTCTTTAAACAAGGCGTGCTTCAGTCTAGTTAAGAAAGACAGCTTTTCTGCATTGGGGATGGGGGGTGGGGATGACACAGCTCACTGCTCAAACTGTTTCTAGAAATTATGAGGCGTTTACGACTTCATCCAGATTTCATCAGCGTGAGCTAGGTAGTAGAGTCTTTCCTTCGTTCTTCTTCCATCCCCATTTCTCTCCCTCTCTCCCTCTTCTTTTAACGTCCCCCTCCTTTTTTAGGACTTGGAAAAGAAACAGGAAGTCAGCGATTCAGAGAAAAGAGCATTCACTCCACAACTGTAAACAGTTTATTTTGTGTCAGTAAATATTTCCAAAGTCGCTGGAGGTCTTTGGAAGACCTCCACTTTTTCCTGCCCCCTGCAAAGAAGGTAGATCCCCTTAGCATTCGAAACTTAGATAGGACATTTTCAGAAGTGGATTCTGTCACCATTCACGAGGAAACTTCAGAATTAGCCTTTGTAGTTACTCAAGGTGGTTCCTTTGTATTACAGATGTCTTCTACCTAGTCACAGGATTATAGAGTGACAAAGAGAACCTATATCTAGACCTCGAGCCATCACAAAACCAATCCTCGGTTTTCAGATTCTTTTACTGTGATAATTATTGAGGACTGAAGATGTCAAATGCATTTTTGATAATCTTAAAGCTTTTCTGCCTAAAACCCCTACAACTAAAGAAGCATAGATTTATTCAACTTTTAATTTTCTTATTTAATTTTTGTAGCAAAGTTCTAGGTAAGAGATATGTACCATACTTTTCATAGTTGAGGTTAATAGTTACTTCTCTATTATTTGAGTTATTGGTGAATTCCTGGCAATTCTACTCATAATGGCAATTCTACTCATAATGAATAGTTAAATCTGCAACTGTGGTCTTAGTATATACCTATTCTTTCCTTTGTTTGTATGCCAACTTTTTAATTGAGATACAATTCACAAACCATAAAATTGACCTTTTGAAAGTGTATATATAGCTCAGGGAATTTGGGTATATTTGCAAGGTTGTGCATTTATCACTCTTATCTAATTCTAGAATATTTTCTTTACCTCCCGCCCCCCAAAAAATCTCTAGGCCTCTTAATAGTCAGTCTCCATAACCACCCCCTCACAGTCCTAGGCAACCATTGACCTGCTCTCCTTCCTTTTGGATTTAACTGTTCTGGACATTTCGTAGGATATGTGACCTGGAGTTGTGGACCATAGGTTAACTTTAAACAGCTGCGGAACTGTTTGACTGCTTACGAAGCAGTTGTGACATTTTTGTAGCAGGAGCTCCACATCTGCACGTTCTCATCAATCCTTGTTAGTCCGCATTCCTTTTCATTTCTATATTGTTTATAATGAACTAATTTGGGCTGAAGTGGAATGTCATTATGACTTTGATTTTTCACTTGTTGATTTTTTTTCTTGTAGTCAACGATGCTGAGAAATTTTTGTGTTTTTATTGACCACTCATGTATTTTCTTTGGAGAAGTGTCTATTCTTATTGTGTGTGTGTATGCACACGTTCAGGAGCACATGCGCATGTGAGTGTTTTCGAGTGTGCCCACGTGTGTGCGTATGCATGAGCGTGTGTGTATTTATACGAGTTAGCTTTCTTTTTTTTTTTTGTGATAATTACCATGACCAAAAACAATTTTGGGAGGAAAGTGTTTATTTCGGATTACAGTTAATAGTCCATCATCCACATAAATCTGGACAGGAACTCAAGCAGGGCAGGAACCTGGAGGACAAGAACTAAAGCAGAGACCACAATGAGCATCGCCTCCTGGCTTTTCTCCTCCTGCTGTGCTCAGCCTGCTTTCTTACGCAATTCAGGAACTGTCCAGAGGTGACCCAGCTCTGTACGGGCTGGACACACAGGTTTTTGTCAAGCTGACTAAACCACATCACTATTAAACTGTAACCTCTCCTCTCTTACCTATGTCAACCGTTAGTAAAGACAGTGCCCTACAGACTTACCTACAGGCTGTCTAGATAGAGACATTTGTCCTCATTGACTTTCCCTAAAACTCTAGCATCTGTCAACTTGACAAAAAAATAAAAAAGTTAAAAAAACCCCCAACTGACACCTTATCAACTTGACATAAAACACATCACTTTTAAACCATAACCTTTCCTTTCTTGTTGTCCCCTAGATGCCACGTTAATATTAATATGACAATATAAAGCGTTCCAACTTTTAAAAGTCCCACAGCTTTTATAATGTCGACATTTAAAATTCCAAAATCTCTTTCGAATATTCAAAGTCTCTCCAAAAAAATCCGAAGTAATTTAACTGTGGGTACCTGTAAAAAAAAAAAAAAAAAAAAAGATAACATATACTTTCTTACTCCCAGAGGGAAGAACTAGAGCGTAGTGATACTCCACTCAAAGAAAACCAAAGTCCAGCTGTTAATGTTAAAGATCTTCTGTCCTCCAAAGGGCTTCAGTAGTCATTCATAGCACCGGAAGCCGGTCTCCTGGCTTGGGGCCAGCTCCATTCCGCAGCTGCTGCTGTTCCTTGGTGGTTGCCCCTGAGTACTGGTATCTTCAACATTCTGTTGCGATGTGAACCGTCGCTTCACCAATAGCCTAGGCTCTCTTCAGGGACTCCAACCCTGCTGCCTGGTGCCAAGACTCAGCTCATCTCCACGAACACTTCCGGCTTCTACTGCAACTGGGGCTGCACCTTCCACAGCGACGTCTCCTGAACTCTCACAGTGCCAAGGCTCAGCTGCTCGCCATGACCCCTCCAAGCCTTCAAGAACCAGGACCGCCTGGGTGACGTTTTAGACGACGTTACCAAGTTGAGATGCGGCCTTGGCCTTCTCTGGGCCACAGCTTCCACGTGCTGCCCTGAGGAAATAGCCCCATAAAGTTTTGGTGTGCTGCCCTCTTAACCACTGAGGGTTTCTCAGCTTCAGCGAACCATCACTGATTGTCCAAGGAAAGCAAAAGTTTCCCTTTAGTGGCTCTGGTATCTTCTTAACCACAACTGATTCTTCAGCTCCAGCTGCCCAGATTCTTACTCCAAAGTATGGAATGACCCCAGCGAAGTCTTAAAGGTGCTCTCAGGCTTCCTTGTGGAACTTCACAAGCCTGGCCTCCATTGGCCTTACTACCCTTAGCATTCTTATCCTCCATGCCCCCTACAACAGGTCCCTGAGCTCTGAGGGCTCAGTAGCTTTTCCAGCCTAAAGTTTCGAACTCCTTCCACAGTCCTTAAAACACAACATGACCAGATGGGTCGTAGCAGTAGTCCATGCTCCGGTACAAATCTTCGTCTTAGTTAGGGTCTGCTTCTGTTGCTGTGATAAAACACCACAGTCAAAAGCAATTTGGAGAGACAAGGGTTTGTTTCAGCCTGCAGTGCTCAGATCACACATTCCATCATTGAGGGAAATCAGGACAGGAACCCAAGGCAGGAGCTTGGAGGCAGGACTGAGGCAAAGGCCATTGAGGAATTCTGCTTCTCAGTTTGCTCCCCATGGCTTGCTCAGCCTGGTTTCTTATATAGCTCAGGACCCCAACCCCATGGCTTGGGCCCACCACTCATCAACCTGCAGACAATCTGAAGGAAATATTTTCTCGTTTGAGGGTTGAATCAGGTTCTCCTGGTTACATAGCAAACTCTTTGCCCGGTAAGCCATCTTCTCAGTCCCTAATTTTGCCTACATTCTAAATTAGATTGTTCTTTTTTGTTTTGTTTTCAAGACAAGGTCTCAGTGTATAGCCCTGGCTATCTTGGAACTCACTTTGTAGACTAGGCTAGTCTCAAACTCACAGAGATCCTCCTGCCTCTTCCTCCTGGGTGTGGGACACTCACAGAGATCCTCCTGCCTCTTCCTCCTGGGTGTGGGACTACCTCAAGCCTGGCAGGGTTTTTTTATTATTATTGATTGAGTGGCTTGAATCATTTATTTATCCTGAACACAAGTCTCTCGTCAGATACTTGACTTTCAGATCTTTTCCTGCTCTTTTGTAGGCCTTTACAAAGTTCCTCCGAGTGTCCTAAGAGTGGTGGTTCTCAACCTGTGGGTTGTGACCCCTCTGAGGGTCACACACCAGATATCCTGCATATCAGATGTTTACATTATGATTCATAACTAGCAAAATTACAGTTGTGAGGAAGAAACGAAATAATTTTATGGTGGGGGTTAACACAACATGAGGAACTGTCTTCATAAAGGGTCGTAGAATTAGGAAGGTTGAGAACCACTGCCTTCCAGGCTCTTAATTCTTAAATTTTCATGAGGTTTCATTTATCTGTTTTCTGATTTTTAGAGCTTTGATACATCTTCTGCTGATTTGTTTGTCTGGGATGAGGGTGGGGACTACATTCATTCTATTGAATACGGTTATCAGTTGCACCACATCGTTTGTTGAAGGTACTATTACCTTCCATGTTGAATGGTCTTGGTACCCTTGTTAAAAATGAATTCATTGTCAGCATGAGGTTGCGTTTCTGTGCCCAACTTTATCTGCTGATATCTTTCTTCACTTGTCTTGGGCACTGTGGCTTTGTATTGAGCTTTGAAGGTTGAGTGTGTGACGCCTTAAACTTTTCAAGATTGTCTGGTTATCCTTGGTCCCTTAAACTTTCTAGGTGAATTTTAGGATCAA